GCATGCTACCGTCGCTCCTTATTTCTCATTGTTCCTTCCTAAATTTGTGCTACCTCGAGTTGCAGATATTCAAATGAGAGGTTACTTTGAACATATACTTCGTCAACTATATTCCGAGAGGTAACGTGCAATTGAATGTATCTTCCACAAACTCACAGTTCCCAGAACTGACCCGAAAGTCAATCTAATGACTCTCCTAGGATTTATGGCCCATCTTAATGATCACCTCGTTTGAGGGCTTCCTTAAATCAGCGACGTCCTAAAAGTATACTTTTTCCTTATTTCCTGGCCTTATTCCTTCATGCTATTCCTGGACACTCCTTTTAATTTTATTCAAGCCAAATACCGGTGTGCCCAGTGTTAATAATTCCTATAGACACTCCCCCCTGTTACAAATTTAGAAATTTAGAACGGATTCCCATCACACAGCAAATAACAGCAAAGCGCACACACAAGTCCTTTGACGGTACATCTGAACGCACACACATACACAAGCACACGAACTGACCAGCGCCCAAAGCTGTGAGAAATCTCACCTTATTAGCCGGCGTCTTGAGCGGGAGTCACTTCGTAGCCCATGAATGGAATGCTGAGAAAAGACGCAATACGCCCCAAATCCTCGTCGCCATTCTGTGGTGTCTGAGACAACGATGCTGATCATGCTATGATGATAAGAATTCCACTGACGCTGTACTTTGATTATAAAGGTTTATTATCAAAGATCCCAGTATCAATTTACAGACATCTGCAGATATCTGGAGAATAACCGGACCCAAATCTCTGATATGTTATTTCTCCCCGTCCTTTGTTCAAAACATGGTATTTATCCTATGTTACATAAGATGGGTGGTTTTTGACAGACCAATCCCCGGCTTCCACATATCTCCAAATGTCCTCTATTCCAAGAAGCCTATGTAGTAATGCTTTCCAGATGTTTCAGCAAAGCAGAGTAAAGTTCATCTATTACACCATTTGCAAATGTCAGCAAAATCATAGACCTTCAGACACTACATTGCTAATTAGCTAAAATGCTAAAGTTGTCTGTGATGAGATTCAAACATGCAACCTTTGGGGTTGCTAACTTTAGGGTTAGGAGGAGTGTTAGGACTTAGGTAAATGTTTTGCCTAAATATATTTAAAGATGTGTAACGTACACAATGATGTACCAAATCTTGATTTAGTGCATTATTAAAGGGTAAGCATTAGAATAAGCCTCCTCAATATTTGTAGCCATTGGTGATAATATCGCTCTACGAGCTGGTCCGTCTTCAGTATTGTGGAATAATTCTAAAGTTAAGGTAAGATTTGAAAGAGAAAACGCTGATCCGAGTGCAGCACTGCCTTTCTTTCGATCCTATCAGTATCGACACGTGCCTCAACGAAGCACTTACCGAACGTTCTCTCTGCGTGGTGTTTTGGGATACGCATGTTACATGTTAGGCGGTTGTAGGAAAGATGCATCGTTAAAACCAGGCACAGACACAGACAGGGCTCTACCAATGCCCCTTTTCCCTTCCAGTCTCCAAAATGTTATATATATATATATGTATACATTTTTTGTCGTTGTTGTGAACTCACTGACCGCAAGTCGTCCTTTAATGTTCATCAATGCAAAACGTTTCGCATCTTGATTGTTAACCAAAGACCTGCATATCGAGATTAGTGACCAGAAAGAACTTGGTTCATTTCTTCCAGTTTTGCCTGGCAAAAACAGAGTAGGCCTGTGTTTATCTGCCATATAAAATACAGTTTAGTAATCTGACTCATCTTTGGCAATTTGATTGATACTTTTCATATTTCCGATAGGCCTAGTTTGGGTGGCTACTGGCTGTATGTGTAAAGATAGGCAGCTGTGAGATCGCACTGCCTTTTAATATTATGTAGCCACCCAAACTAGGCCTAGTAGGTTGTATGATTTTGCTTGGTCTGGGCCAAAGAATGTGTGTGGAGCCGAATTGGAGCGAAGCACGCCCAATTTGACTGGAGCGCGGAGCGAGATTCCCAAAGGGTGGAGCGTCAGCCTTCTCCGCAGCTCCAATTTCGCTCCAGATATATTATATTATATATTATTGTGGCATCATGTCTGGAGGACACTCATAACTACATCAAATAGTTCCATTTTTAAAGAGTTTCATTCAATTAATTGATAGTGGATATAATTTAACCAATGTCCTATGCAGGGTCTAAATCTATGAATTCAATGTGCAAGGTTTCTTCAAGCCCTTTCATCATTTCTTTGCATTAAAGCTCAGGCTTTGAACAATTTGAGTTAAGAAATGTTGTGTTTGTAAGACATAATTCAGATTAATTAAAAACATGAACAAAAACCATGATTGAAATAATTATAGTGAAGTTAGACCACAGCGTAAAACACTGCACTAGCAAAACATACCGTTTCATAGCACCACCCCGTGGACAAAATGCCATATCCTGAATGTGCTGCAGAGGGCAGCTGTGCTGCTTTTTCCTTCTCCTAATTCCTTTGTCTAGCAGGTGCTTTTATGGCCTTGCTATACTACATCCAAAGATTTTTATAACTAAGCCAAGATAGACCACAGCCTGTCGTTTCCAATGGGAGCAAATTAATCATAGTGGGAAGCAGTGGAGGCTGCTGAGGGGAGGACGGCTCATAAAAATGGCTGGAACGGAGTTAATGGAATGGCATCAAACACAGGGAAACCATGTGTTTGGTGTATTTAATATAATTCTGCAACAGCCATTACCACGAACCCGTCCTCCCCAATTAAGGTGCCACCAACCTCCTGTGGTGGGCAGAGACAAGCACGAGCTAGCAAGAGCCTATTGGTGTGTTCTAGCAGTGTATTTGCATATTTCCGTTAGGGAATGGCTACTCTGTGAAGTGCAAAGGGTAAAGTCTACAAAATGTGTCCTCTGTCCGTAACATATTCTAGTTTTAGAAACAGAAAACTGTATTGAGATCAAATGTTTCATTGATGAGAAAATTAGCAGAATATTGGCCAAAATCCATCTCGCTCCATCTTCTCCCACTGTAGGCAACTGGGCTTCCTCTCACCACCATCTTTGGTAGTGAGTGGAAACTGCAACTTTATACATCCAGTGAAATATCAGTCTCATTGTTCTATCTGTGCTACAGCCATCAGCCATTGAGAGAACACGTCCAATGGCAGTGTCCAAACTCAAGGATCGCCGAGGTTAAATTCTCGATGGCTGACGCGCCTTTTCATTCAATCTTGTGAATTGTGTGGTCAATGGTGTGGCAGGTAGAACGTCACATTGACAATGCTGACGGCAACGCGTGTAGTGTAGCTTACTTGTAAGAGGTCAAGCTTCACCCATTTTAATGAGTTCTTACTACTACCACCACTAATATCTGGTCCGATTAATGAATTAATGACAAACAGTTAAATATGCTCAAGCAAATCCTTGAAGGGAATGTATATCCTTGCTAGGAATTATGCCCAAAGAATAGAAAAACAATCACACAGGTGATGTATAATAACAGTATAAAGAGCATTTATTTTTATCATAAATACACAAAAATATTACATTTACATGACTGTTTTTATACAGAATTATTGTGGCATCATGTCTGGAGGACACTCATAACTACATCAAGGAGCTGGATGGGCTCAGACCAAGGCACTGAATGGTAGGTAACCCGTGTGGATTACACGCTCTAGAGCTAACATCAGTGAATAAATTACAGATCAGCTAGATCACTGTTGCTTATTGGACTCAGCCTGCACCCAAGGCACTGGGGTTTTACTACACCTGTGGAGGCCTATCCCACACTCAGCTAATGCCATGTCCTCAATCACCAGTGGAGCAGAGCTCTGAGGGGAGCACCAAATGTGAACACACTCAATGAGAAAGCCTACTTTTAACAGTCGTAAGCATGGCATAACAAGTCATAAGAACTGAACTCAATTTGGAACAGAAGATTTATAACGAATATGCATGCAGTGGTAAACAATGGCTACTCTTTTTAAAATGTTGTGCAATGCTTGTGACAGAGCTAAAGCTAAACTTGTGCTCTGCTCCAGTTCCTGCAAGAACAGCGCTGCACTACCCCCTTTCCCATCTGGCTTCAAAGTCACACCGTAATTTCTGTTTGACATAAATACAGAAAGTAGGCCAACAGCTTTTTAACAATAGGAGCAGGTTGGCGTTCAAGATTTCTCAGCACCAGTAGAGGCTGTGACTCAAACCAGAGCGAAATGGGTGAGGAATTTACGAAAGAAGGGGTCAGCACATATACACTCCACTCAGTATACATGTAAACATCATTACAGATGTACTATGGGTATGGCCCAGAGTTTTCCCAGCCATGTGACCAGATCCAGGAAATAATTCAGGCCCATGTACTCACAGACAAAATCCTCCTTAAGGCTTTCAGTAGCAGAATTACAGAATATGTACATTTTTATAATTAAATGTACAAAATGTATTAAAAGTATAAAAAGTACAGGTATTGAAAGCTAGAAACAAGCTGAAACAAGGTCCCATCAAGCTGAATCTTACAGTCAAACCTAGAGAGGTTCAGCACCAATTCTAAATAGCAGAGGAGAACAGGTCATAGGAAGTGTGTGTTATTTGGGCTGGTGGGACAGAACTAGACAAAGCTACTGAACTGCCTCACCATTGGCTAACCTACTATACTACACATATCTAACATTAAAAATCTGTTTATTAAAAACACAGAGTCCACTTGTGCTTTCACCCTGAACCGACAAGAAAAGCACAGGTATAACAATATGTAATACAAAAGTACAGTACAGCTTTGGGTCATAACTTTGAGAGATTGCCTTAGCAGAGAGAAAGGAAGTGATCGGAAGGTCCAGAGAGTTGAGGTTAATTCTCTTTGAATTCAAAAGTGCACTGACTTTTATATTGGAAAACAAAACTCCTGCATACCTAACCAGTAATCTAAATTCTAAGTTCCATGTCTAATTTCAGTTGCTGAATAGGCTGATATTCAAATGAGATCTACCCCCAATCCTGATTTGCTGGACACCCTGTCAATCATCCTTGTTGTGATGGAAACCATTCCCGTTAGTTATTTCACTGTTGTTTTGGCCATTGGTTTTGTTGTAGGGGTGGGCCCAGGTTTTGGCCTGAAGGACCTTGGGCAGCCTCTTGCCCTTGGTGTAGGCGTGGTACCAGAAGTTGAGGAAGAGGAGGAGGAAGACCAGGCCGTAGAGGCCGATGATGTAGATGAAGATGGGGAACTGGTAGGGACAGTCCTTCATGAAGAAGTACTGCCAGATGTGGGTGGTCACGATCACAAACTGGATCTGAGGACAGACAGAGGAAGGTCATATATTACTTGTTTTGAACATATGAGACCATCCCAAGTGGCCCAGTAGAATCATATCCTTGTCCATAAAAACGTATGGGTGGCTTTCTCTTGTATTGGTTCAAATTCAACTCCCCGCTAGTGAAGTAGTGAAGTGCAGTATGTACCAGCTGAATGGTGGTGAGGTACTTCTTCCACCAGAGGTACTTCTGGTAGGCGGGGCCCAGGGCAGACAGGCCATAATAGGAGTACATGATGACATGGACCACACAGTTCAACAGGGCATGGAATGTCCCCTGGCCACCTAGAGGACGAGACAAGCAATTAGCAGTTATGATTTGCTGTTCTATAGGGCAACGCTATCCCTAAATGGGCAGGTTTCTTTGTTCCACTTCCTATAAAAGCTTCTATGGAATACTGACATTTTTCTGGTACAGACCATCATTACATACATCTGGTAATATGCCCATTTGTGAGTAGTTTAATACAGTGATGGGAGTAACTCAAGTTGTTGTCCACTGTACCTGCAGCGAACCGGACCCCAAACCACCAGGTAAAGGGCATGATGGAGTGATGGTAGACATGGAGGAAAGTAATCTGTCCGTTCTTCTTCCTCAGAACAAAGAAAATCTGACAGGAGGGAGTATTCAGCCATTTAACACTGAACAGAACAACAGTGAAACTGACAGAACTGGGAAGGGGATACCTAGTCAGTTGCATAACTGAATGCATTCAACCAAAATGTGTCTTCCGCATTTAACCCAACCCCTCTGAACAAGCGAGACACAGATAGTCAGAAAGTTGTACTCAAGAGAACCAACTTACTGTGTCCAACATCTCTATGAACTTTGACAAGTAGTAGAGCCAACACGTCCCGGCCATCTAAGGAGAGAGAGAGATGAGAGAGGTTATTAGTAACACAGGAATAATTACAATACTTACAGATAAGCAAAACGCGTACCTCTGTATTACTTCTGTCACAGCACTGACCTTTTAAAGTAAAACAAACAATTATTTTCCTGTTTTATATGCATTTCCACAATATGAGGTTGGAATAATATTGTGAAAATTATTATAATGCCCTTTTAGTGTAAGAGCTGTTTAAAAAGACTGCCGGATGTTTTGGTGGGATGGCGGCGACCTAACAGGCCTCACCACACAACTCATGATATTATGCAACACAGGAAACGTGGCCTATGGAATGACCTGCTCTCAATGCTTCTTTGTTCCAACAGCTTGTTAGCATTCTAGAGTCAGTGGCGGATTCCACAGGTGAATTGTTGTTAATGAGAAGAGGGGAACGGCCAGTAGTAGTTCTCTACCTGTCTGTAGCAGGTAGTCACATTCCACAGCTCTTACCCTCACTGCCTGCGGCGAGTCTGAGTAGTCCACTAGGTCACAGTGGAACGTGTAGCCCGTCCCCCAGCCTGACATCACATACTACAGGAAGAGGCAATGAATTAAAAACATACTCCAAATCACAACACACTCGTCGTTGAAAAACATCTCATGCAAATACAAAAGGCTCTGACTATTTTGCGATTATGGTTGTGTTACCGCTGAAAATGTAATGACCAGAAGAAAGTAATTAAGTATGAAATTATGCATCATTGTGATCCTGAAGCATAGCCTTCTTCATATTAACTTGAGAAATCCCAATTGCTTTTTTTTGCCGCTTGCCTCACAAACTGTCCTGCTTGACAAGGCAGTATGAAACTCTAGAGCCTGTCAGAAGTCCATTGAGAAAGAGACCCACCTCATAGCACATGTAGAGGGACAAGGCGACCACGCTGAAGTTGTAGATGATGAGAACTTCTTTGAGGTGGAAGGCCTTGCGTTTCTCCATGAGCCTGGGCCCCAGCCGCGTCACAAAGTAGATGTACGCCACGATTACAATGGTCTGGGGGAGTGGCGATGACATGAGAAACCAGTCTTCGGTCCTGGGGTCTTGACAGCAGAGAAGGGTTGAGTGTATGATTCAATAAAATAAATCAATACATCATGCCATCTAGCCAAGCATTCAACTGAGATGCACCGACAATATGAACATGTTTAAGAGGGTAGGTTAGAGTTGATTCTCATGGCTTGTAATGATGATCAGCGCTATTTCATCAACCCCAGAAGACCAACCTCATCTAGATACACAGCCAGTATCTGTCCGCTTCCACCAAGGAACACATAGGAAGAGAATGTTGCATAATGCTTTCATGCGTTATCCTCTGGCTTCTACTGAAAAAGTATGCTTGCGCATTTGCCTTTTTAATACCAAAACTCAAAATATCATCGTTGTTGAACAGCAGTTAGTGATGGATCCTCACCTGCATTTTTCATGAAGTTTTCATACCAGAGTCCGACCCTGGTCATTAGATTCCTGAACTCCATGTATCCCGGAGCTCCTGTAGCTGTCCTGGAATAAACACACAGTTCAGAGGATAAAGGCCCAATGCAGCAGTTTTTTTTATTTATCGCAATATGAAATAATTTCTGGGTAACAGAAAACACAGTAAGGTAAACCGTTAACTTGCTGTGTTTTCAATTAAAATAGTCAAAAATAAACAAAAATGGAGATAAATAGGTTCTCATTGTACCAGGACATATTTACAAAAGTAAAGAAAACACTGCTGATATATCACATAATTAACTCACAAGCAGAAAAGTATGTAAGCAAATTATGAGATGAAATTAAGCATTTTGACAACCACTCGGAGCCTGTCTCTTGCAAAACAGTCATCCACTCAGTAGCACTTTGCCCAAGCGTGTCCGACATCGCACAATCATGTCCGACATCGCTCTACCACCACCTCCTGATTTTACTTTAAAAAAACAAACATTTTTAGTCATTTAGCAGACGCTCTTATCCAGAGCGACTTACAGGAGCAATTAGGGTTAAGTGCCTTGCTCAAGGGCACAGAGATTTTTCACCTAGTCGGCTCCGGGATTAGAACCAGCAACCTTTCGGTTACTGGCACAATGCTCTTAACCACTAAGCTACCTGCCGCCCCTGATGAGGACGAACACCCTTGTCTGTCTCTAAAATAAAAGTTGTATTTTCTCGGAATGAACGATTCATCCTACCGGATGAAATGTCTTATGTTTACCAAAAGTTCAGGAAATACTAGCATTCAAGAACTCGCCTTTAAAAAAAACACATTGAGGTAAGCCTACTGTTAGCATGCTAGCTAACATTAGCTAACCTAGCTAGCCCACATATGCTAATGCAACAAGCAGTGTTAGTTGATGCTAGCTAATCCTATATACCTAAATAGTTCACTAGCTAGTATCTACCTACTTTAGCTGGCTAAAATGTGCCCAGATTTGGAAGCTTTGTTAGCTAACGCAATCTAACTAAACTGACATGAGCTAACTAGCTAGCTTGTTACCAAGCTAGCTAACTAGTAGTTTCCGAATCTGTGCACATTTTAGTCAGCTAATGTTAGTCTACCCAAATACCTTTTCTCTAAACACCTGGTCAAGCTAGCTAGCTAACTAATGTTAGCTTTCGGGTGTTAGCTAGCCATTTTATTCCTTGTGATAGTTGATAGTTGTTCTTACCTAGCTAATTACTGTAGACTTAAGTTATTGACGTAACCTACTAGCTAGATCAATTAACATAGTTCTCTCTCACTTAACTAATGTTTATAGCTTTAAAATTAGGATCCTATACCTTAAGTATTTGGTGATGGTAGTTATGTAGCTAAGTCAGTCTCTCTTTTCCTTTTCTTCTTATTTCAGAGAAAGCATGTACACCATCTTAAGAAGTATGGAGAACTGACAGCAAACACACTGAAGAGAAAACATGCCCCTAAGATTCCCTCTACCATCAAGCAGAGCACATTACTGAAGACAGTGTTTCAAAAATCCATCAACAAAGCTGTGGTGAAGTATGTGGTCCAAGGGCTCCAACCATTCGCTGTTGGAGAGTTTGTCCAGGATCTGCAGCCTAACTCAAAGATCTTATCAAGGCCCACACTGCGCTCCAGGATTGATGAAGCCTATGTCTAGACTGCTGGTCTGCAAGAAGACAGAGCTTCATTGGTGTTACAGCTCACGGAATAGACCCTGACAGTCTCAACAGATGCTCTGCAGCCCTGGCCTGTAAACGGTTGAGAGGATCGCACACCTTTGATGTGTTGGCAAACGTCCTAAATGACATCCATTCGGAGTTTGAAATCCGGGGTAAGATTGTGAGAACAACAGACAACGGCTCTAACTTCTTGAAAGCTTTCCACATTTTTGGAGAAGATGAAAACAACAAGGCAGTGGAAGCAGTGGGTGGTGAAGCAGCTCAGCCAATGAGGCAGTGGAAGCAGTGGATGGTGAAGCAGCTCAGCCAGGACAGGAAGATGGTGAAGAGGAACAAGCGGAGTGTGAAGAAGTGGAGTTTGTTGATGTGGCAACAATCCTGAATGAAGATTATGGTTTTGAGTACCAGCTGCCGAAGCACCAGCGCTGTGCTTGCCACCTACTCAACTTAGTATCTACAGTCGATGCCCTGAAAGCAACATCCAGGGAGGCTTACAAAAAAAGTGTCCCGTTCAACATTGCCAAGCACTCTGGAACAAATGCGGAAGATCCACACTTTCAGCCGAAACGGTTGAAGATGCTTGCAACCTCCTGCTGCTGCGCCCGAATGCTACAAGGTTCATGTAGAAAGACTCCTGAGGATCGTCAAAGACAAAGGAGAGGCGGCCGTCAAGAGTTCTCTGCACAGACTTCGAGGTTCCAATGTAAGTAAGGAATACGTATTATTGTGTCATAATTTAAGGTCTTGAATGTTGTCTAAATCTGTTGCAGTGTTTCCTGACCCTTTGCTTGGGGACTAATAACTGTTTCACATGTTGTAGCCATACACTATCATTGATCCATTTAGTCAACTACTCATCCAGCCATTGATTACTGTAGTTAAATCAGGTGAAATGATTAGTGGTCCCTTTGTATAGGGTTAGGAAATAGTATTATTATTTTTTCCATATGTTCAATACAGCTGAACTCGCCTTCCTCACAGAGTATGCTGCCACCATGAGCCCAGATGCAAAGGCCATCAACATCCTGCAGGCAGAAACCAATGTCCAGATGGGGTGGTTACTTCCAACTATCAACCTGCTGTACTGTAAGCCTCCGGTGGATGCGCTACAACTGGGACTGAAGAAGCGCTTCAGCCACGTTTCACGACCCTGAGCTGATCGCAGCTGCAATCCTTCTCCCCAAATTCAAAACAACGTGGACAAAGGATGACGCCACCATTAACCACAAGACAATGTGGTTAATTAACAGTATTTTATTATTCATAAACAACTGTGTATAGTGGACATTGACACTTCATAGATTTGAGAACCACCCATTTAAACTACAATCCTGACTTTGTGGTTCAGTCCAATGGGTAGCCTACTTAGCCCTGTTGCTTGGTTCACATGGGATGGGGATGGATTAATGTAGGCTCATAACGGCATGATTTCTATTGTCATCTTCCTTGTATTACAGGAATGGACTACATCAAGGACCACCTCAAAGAACCCTTGCTGCAGCTAGGTGATGGCACCAATTCATCAGATGAGGACTTCTCTGTGATGAAGACGTCTCAAGCAAAAGAAAGCTCCAAAACAGCTGGACGGATACCTGGCCTGTTCAGCTGATCATATGGAGTTGCTCAAGTCCTTCCCGGCAGTCTGTAAGCTGTCTCTGAGGCTAAACACACCCTTACCTGCATCAGCTGCATGTGAAAGGCTGTTCAGCATTGCAGGACTTGTTTTCAGCCCCAGGAGAGCAAGGCTGGATTCCAGAAACGTTGAAAACCAGCTTTTACTGAAGATGAAACATAAATTCTTCAACTTCAAGTAATGACATGGATGCCTTATGCGTTTTGTTAATTTATGTTTAAAATTCACAAGTTATAGGAGTCCTTATTACAAAGGCATGACCTGACACACTGATTTCAACTACAGTTCTATCAGTGGTGATATGGTATCCACAAGTTCATCTGACTCTGGGGAAGTAGATAAAGGGCCTCATTTAAACTGTCATCAAATGGACATCATGTCCTAGATAATCCATTTGCCTCTAATATACACTGCCCTTCAAAAGTTTGGGGTCACTTAGACATTTCCTTGTTTTTGAAAGAAAATCCTTTTTTTTGTCCATTATAATAACATCACATTTATCAGAAATACAGTGTATACATTGTTAATGTTGTAAATGGCTATTGTAGCTGGAAATGGCTGATTTGTAATGGAATATCTACATAGGCGTACAGAGGCCCATTATCAGCAACCATCAGTCCTGTGTTCCAATGGCACGTTGTGTTTGCTAATCTAAGTTTATGATTTTAAAAGGCTAATTGAACATTAGAAAACCCTTTTGCAATTATGTTAGCACAGCTGAAAACTGTTGTGCTGATTAAAGAAGCAATAAACTGGCCTTCATGAGACTAGTTGAGTATCTGGAGCATCAGCAATTGTGGGTTCGATTACAGGCTCAAAATGGCCAGAAACAAATAACTTTCTTCTGAAACTCGTCAGTCTATTCTTGTTCTGAGAAATTAAGGCTATTCTATGCGTGAAATTGCCAACGCTGTGTACTACTCCCTTCACAGAACAGCGCAAACTGGCTCTAACCAGAAAAGAAAGAGGAGTGGGAGGCCCCGGTGCACAACTTAGCAAGAGGACAAATACATTCAAGTGTCTAGTTTGAGAAACAGCCTCACAGGTCCTCAACTGGCAGCTTCATTAAATAATACCCGCAAAACACCAGTCTCAACGTCAACAGTGAAGAGGCGACTCCGGGATGCTGACCTTCTAGGCAGAGTTGCAAAGAAAAAGCCATATCTCAGACTGCCCATCTTTATCTTTTATTTTTATTGGCCCTACCTTCAAAGTGCCTCTTGCTTGACATCATGTGAAAATCAAAAGAAAATCAGCCAAGACCTCAGAAAAACAATTGTAGACCTCCACAAGTCTGGTTCATCCTTGGGAGCAATTTCCAAACGCCTGAAGGTACCACGTTCATCTGTACAAACAATAGTACGCAAGCATAAACACCATGGGACCACGCATCCGTCATACCGCTCAGGAAGGAGACTCGTTCTGTCTCCTAGAGATGAACGTACTTTGGTGCGAAAAGTGCAAATCAATACCAGAACAACAGCAAAGGACCTTGTGAAGATGCTGGAGGAAACAGTTACAAAAGTATCTATATCCACAGTAAAACGATTCCTATATATATCGACATAACCTGAAAGGCCGCTCAGCAAGGAAGAAGCCACTGCTCCAAAACCGCCATAAAAAAGCCAGACTACGGTTTGCAATTGCACATGGGGACAAAGATCATACTTTTTGGAGAAATGTCCTCTGGTGTGATGAAACAAAAAT